GTCTCCTTGTGTTCCCAGTAAGGTAAGTAGACTTCTATAAGGAGATCCACATAAATTCAAAGGGTTTAAAAGGGGGTTGTACATAATTATTAACAAAAATAATTATGAAGGCAGAATACCAGCAGGGGGTTGGGAGCTATCCAGTGTTTTGCATGGAGTAGGCAGAAGTCTTGGGTGTGTGCCTGGTGCAAGAAGCTCCTGTTTCTCAGGGAATGAGTTTGTACCCTTGAGGCCAAGGTGGCTAACCTGGAGAACTAGAGACAGTCAGTTAGGCACATGGAGAAGACTCTTGGGGACTCATTAGATATGTCCCACTCTGAAAATGGCAGCCCCACCGCTGTCAGGGAGCATGAGGGTCGAGAGGAAACCGGGCACCGTCCTAAGGATAAAGGGAATGTACCCTCAGAAGGGACCTCTTCTTCAGTTAGGGAACAGGTATCCTTTCGCACCAAGGAACCATCCCTGTGCAGGGAGGGTGGAGGCACTTGGTAGTTGGTGATTTGATCATTAGGCAGGTAGACAGCTGGGTGGAAAACCCATGTACTGACTGTATGGTGACTTGCCTGCCTGGTGCAAAGGCAACGGACATTACATGTGTTCTAGATAGGTTGGTAGACAGTGCTGGGGAGGAGCCAGTGGTTGTGGTACAAGTTGGCACCAACAATGTGGGGAAATGCAGTCGTGAGGTCCTGGAGGAAAAAATTAGGCTGCTAGGCAGGAGACTCAAGGCCAGGACCTCCAAGGTAGCCTTCTCAGAAGCGCTACCTGTTCCACGCACAGGGCCGAAGAGACAGGCACAGATCAGGAGTCTCAATGCGTGAATGAGACAATGATGTAGGGAGGAAGGGTTAAAGTTTGTTAGGCACTGAGATGTTTTTTGGAACAAGAGGGAGCTGTACAAAAGAGACAGTCTCCACTTGTCCCGAGAAGGAACCAGGCTACTGATGCTTAAAATCAAAAAGGTGACAGAGCAGTTTTTAGAATATTGGGGGAAGGATGGAGGGGAAGGGTTGGAGATAGGGTGGCTCTGTATGTCAGAGAGGTTATACAGTCCAGTAAGATTCAGAGGGTAAGAGAATTTGATTTGCTTCTGGAAATGCTATGGTTTGAAATAGTGGGCCCAAAAGGAAGCTTAACACTGGGAGTTTGTTATTGCTCACCAGATCAAAAGATAGAGGAGGATTATAAAATGATGAATGAATTAAAGATAGCAGCTAGATGAAATCTGTGTTGTAATAGGTGAATTTAACTACTCACACACTGATTGGGTCAATATGTGTTCAAATTGGGAAAAAGAGATTGAGTTTCTAGACACTGTCAATGACTGTGCTATGGAGCAGACGGTCACGGAACCTAATAGGAGAGAGGTGATCCTGGATTTCATCCTAAGTAATGCCCAAGACCTGGTGAGAGATGTAAATGTGTTGCACCATTTGGGAACAGTGACCCTAATGTTACTGAGTTCAACATTTGTATAAATAGGGAGTTGCCCAGAAAGACCAACACAACCACTTTTAACTTTAAAGGGGTAACTTCTCTGATATGAGGGGACATGTGAGGAGGAAACTGAAAGGAAAAGTAGAAAGGGTCAAAACCACTGGGGAAGCTTGGAGACTATTTAAAGCTGCCATCCTAGAAGCTCAGAAAAAATATAAACCACAGGTTAGGAAAGACACAAATAGACATAGAAAAAGGCCTGCATGGTTAACAAACAAAGTAATGGAAGCTGTAAAAGGTAAGAAGGATTCCTTTAAGCGGTAGAAAGCTAGTCTCAGTGAGGTTGATAAAAGGGAACACAGACTATGGCAAATAAAATGCAAGTCTGTATCTCCATACCTTGGCAGCCCTGCCTGCAATCATTCCATTTTTAACCTGTCCCAAGGGAGGACCCTGCTCCATCTTGTGCATGCGTAAAACCAAGAACTGCCTTCCCCTAACTGCAGGTGAAGCAAGAAGCACTTGGCAGCAATCTAGGGAGGAATCCAGACAGCACAGTTTGTAATCTTGTAATCTCCAAGAGTCGATACTTCCCTCATATGAATGAGGCAGTAGTGGCAAGCATGAGGCTCAGAACTAGCTGCCTCACCTCTCCCCAGCCCGCACCCATAATCCCTGCATCCCTCCTGACCTGAGTGCTGTGATTCAATTAGGGCTGACTGGAGATCTCCTGGAATTATAAATCATTGCAACAATTAGGACCTTAGTGGGTTACACCTGCATCCCTCCTGACCTGTGCTGTGATTCAAATAGGGCTGACTGGAGATCTCCTGGAATTATAAATCATTGCAACACAACAGAGATTAGTTTTGCTGGAGAAAATGACTGCTTTAGAGGGTGACTGTACAACATTATCCCACTGAGCTCCCACCCCTCCCAGGCTCTACCTTCCCCCAAATCTCCAGCAATTTCCCAAGTCAAAGTTGGAAACTCTAGATTCAGAGGAGAAATCACTGCCTCTCAGGTAAGGTTGAAGCACTGTAGTCACCATAGTAGCCTTACCATCTCTGGATGTTTTGTAGGAGGACATTTTCTCCTGCATTACACCCAGACTTTCTACTGGAGCTGGCTGAGATGCTGTGATTACTATGGCAACCACAACACCATAGCCTTTCCTTGGAGGCACTAATGTCCATCAGGCTGAAGTGCCCCTAGCCTTCATCCCCGGGGGAGGGAGATATACTAGGCAGGCATACCACACTGAGATCTCCAGTTGCCATGGTGGTCAGGATTTTCTCAAGACCTGAAGAACTGCCAATTTGCTTTCAAGGCACTGCATCAACATCACATGATTTAGGTGCTACTTTTTCCCTGTTTCTCATGTTATGTTTATTATGGCATGGAATTATTTGGCATGGAATAAAATACATCACAGTAAAATGTAACCTAGGGAGACATGGCAACTGCTGAGGCAGTTCTAGAATTCTTAAGCCCTTCCTCAGAAAGGAGAACACCACTGAATCCACACCTTATGCCATAAAAAAGACATTAAGTGTGGGTATGTGCATGGGGGGACAGGGCTCAATAACTTCCATTTTGAACACTTTTAAGGCAAAGATTTTGTCATAGCAAGAAAGCTAAAGCAGAAAGCTACTCCAGATCACACAATTATTTGATGAGATGCATTTCCACAGGGTGTCGTGATGGTCTGTAGCATGAATGGCTCTTAAAGGATGATCAGTGTACAGAAGATAGCTCTGATATTAGCTAATGGCCATGCGACAGCCAAAAATGCATCTTCACTTTTCAGAGACTATGCTGCAGCCTGATAACGCAAAGTATGTGTCTCTACATTGCCATAATTTACTCCTTCCAAACCTCCCTGAGCCATGTGGACAGCTATAACCGCTAGAGAGAACTTTAAGGTTAGGACAGTCAATGGGTTGACCTATCATTGCTACTCTTTTAAGCTGTTGCTCAGTGAAAATGGGAAAAAAGACTTAATGTAGTCTCCTTGTCCTGCATAGATGAACATTTACTGGCATGCGCTTCCTTTTAGTACAATGACTCTCCCCCCCAACAGAAACTCCACAAAAACAAACAAATAAGCAGCTAACACAGGGACATGTGTCACCGGGGAAGGGTTGTTTGCCCGTCCTTTGTTACATGCCTATTTTCTAATTTTCAGCTGACATTTTTCTTAGTGAAATAAATGAATTGACTCCAGCAGAGGCCTATTCGGATTAAACTGCTGTCACTGCCTCACACGTTTAACAAATGGCTGCCTGCATCCGGCAGCACGGCGGGATGCATTCCAATTGGAGTGGAGTGGAAGCTGAGAATAAACAGCAAGGTGCTCATCAGGAAAGTTGCTTAGCAAAGCAGGAGCCCAGACTCAGAGGGAAACAAAATGCTTAATAAAAGTTTAAAAGGGTCATTTAATCCCTGAGATAAAATCCAGGATCTTGGTTTTTAGCAGGTGCAAACCAGCCTAGATCACTAGAGCACTGTTGATTTATACTAGCTGAGAATCTGGCCTGACAGGTACAGGGTTTCGTTTGTGCAGTGCCACAGAATGGGAAAGAAGGAAATGACAGGAATACAGAACCATCGGAGTTGCCGTGTTGGAAGGTGATTCCAGAAGCCATCCTGGAACCGAGGCAGGGTTAATTATGCATAAAATATTAACAGCAGATGTTTTGCAACAAAATACCATTTACGTCATGTTGGCCCTAAGAAAAGAATTATGGCTTTGCATAAAATTGGCTACAAAGCTATATTCAAACACGCAGGAAGAACTTGGTGGGATGATTCCCTCTCAGACTACATAGGGGGAATGATTCTTTGAAAGGGTGCCACGTCAAACTCTTCTTGCGCACTGAAAATACATAGGAGAACAGGGAAGAAATTATACTTGAACCCTCTTTATGACCCATAGAAGGACTTAACCCTAAAGACCCTTGATACTTTTTTTGCCATTAAATCACAGCTGGACTACGGTGACTCCATGGGGTTTTCACGGCAAGAGACATTCAGAAGTAGTTTACTGTTGCCTGCTTCCACATCAGTACGCTGGTATTCCTTGCTGGTTTCCCTTCCGAATACTGACCAGGCTGACCATGCTTAGCTTCTGAGTTTATGTCATACTGGTATGCATTTTACAAGTCTAAGGCTGCAATCTTAAAGATACTTTCCTGGCAAAAAGCGTCAATGAATAACATAAGGATTACTTCTTAGTATACATGTTTAGGATCACTGTCTAAAAGGGTTATCTTGAGTCCTGCATAACACAACATTAATAATCTTATTTTATTATTTATTAACAAGAATAAACCACAATAAAAAATAAGGTGGCGAAAGCCAGTCATATGTTTTATTACACAAATAAAGGCTTATATGTTCAACCTAATCAAATTGCCTATTAAGATTTGTGGTTTAAAAACCACAGTACGAGGAAGCATATTTAGTTTTCCAGTTGATGCAAGATGCAATGACATTTATCCAAAAAGCTAAAATTGGTGTTCAGCTCACATAAACACTGAAATGCAGCCACATCAACTCACTGCTCAGCAATTATATACTGCTCCTCCAGCGGTGTACATTCCACACCAGCCACATGCACATTGTGGGTAATCTCAGAGAAATCCAAGCCCAGGTTAACACCACGAATTGTGACTCGTGTTCCTCCTTCTGGTGGACCTGACACTGTTAGAATCTGAGGAAAGAAGCAAGTATAATATTTACAATATGAACAATGCTTACTAAAAAGCCTGAAAATGGTATGGGGAGGGTGATAAGAATCTGAAGGTAGTTGTGGATTTTTGTTCTTATTTTAAATATAGTTTCTATGATTTTGAAAACAAAGACAAAAACTACAGTGTTCTTAGACACCACTAAACCATCCCCAAATGGGTATCTTTGTCCTGCTTTTTAGGAGAAATATAGCAAGGTCAAATTCATGACTCTCATATGGAAATCCAGGAGAATACAGTTGTAATATTGTCTTGCCATGTAAATACTTCTAGCCTCAGGGTCTCAACAAAATAAGCAACACCTTTATTCCCAAGGTTTGTTCATGAAGACTGTTTAAAGTGATGTCACACTCCTCTAAGAATCACTGGAACCTCCATGGCAAACCATAGAGTTTCCAGTGATTCCTATTTCTAATTTTTAAAAATTTTACTTCATTTTTACTTTGAAGCAGCTTACATCATTCTCCTCCCCTGTTTGATTCTAACTAATGTCAGACAGCAAGCATTGCCTCTAGTCCTAATGAACTGCACTTCTATCCCACAGCCTTTTTAAATTTTAAAAGGACACAGCCACTAACACCTTTCTGAAGTGGGTTATAATAGGGTCAGGAGATTATGCCCTTTATAACATAGGGAAGGGCTAATAAAATCTGTTTTATGGCTCATGTTTGAACCTCAGCAGCCAGACATTTATAGCAATGGGGATATAGTACTAAACTGCTCAGGAACAGGCTGGTAGCAGTTTCATGCTGTGGATGGCAAGTTCCTCCTGTATATTCTTGCCACAATTCCTTGTGAACCCTCAGCTTACATTATGTCTATCATGAATGTGTCCAAAATTTGCTTTTAAACATTTAAGGAAAAACAGTTTGATAACAAAGCTGGGAATCACAAAACCAGAACCAATGTAAGGGATATGGAAAAGCACTTGTCCAAAGATAAACAAGGAGCACCATGGGAAGGATTAGTCCCTGTTTAATGAGGTACTATGCAAAGACACCTGGAAATGAAGCATTAATTGGACAGACTGTGCAATGAAGTGTGAGCTGGTCAAGACAACAACAATACTTTCAGGTACTATTAATGTGAAAATCTGTCAGTCTGAATATACTCTTTGAACATTATGGGACCAGAGATAACTTAATGGCCTGGCAAGTCTGTGATGTTAAATGGCTGTAGGTCAGTGCAAAAGGAAACAGTGGGAAAGGAATTGTCCACACATTACCAGTTTGGTGTAGTGGTTAAGGGCATGGACTCTAATCTGGGACAACCAGGTTTGATTTCCAACACCTCCATATGCAGCTACTGGTGTGACTTTGGGTCAGTCACGAGTTCTTTCAAAGCTGTTCTCTCAAGAGCAATCCTCGAAAGAGCCCCACCTACCTCACAGGGTGTCTGTTGTGGGGAGGGGAAAGGAAAGAAGATAGTAAGCCACTCTGAGTGAAGGGTGGGGTATAAATCCAATCTCTTCTCTTCTTCTTTTTCTTCTTCTCTACTTTACAATTTTCTGATAATTAAAAAGTATCTACACCTGATACAACTTAAGAACTAACAAAATCAGAGTTGTGACACCAAACCTCAAATATAAATGGGACCAGAAGTGCCCTCCTAAGCAGAGTTACACCCATCAACTTCAGTTGCCTCAGAAGGATGTAATTCTGCAACAACCCAAAAGACTAAAAAGATTTAAAAAATAAAATCCAATTCTTCAATGGCCATCCAGTTCCTAACATCTTATTCTTTTAGACTGTCTCTTTCTACGGTATAGTTCCATATTCAAATTTCCTCGCACATCCACAGAGGTGATAAAGTTATTTTATTATGAAGGGAAAACTGAGATTCTCACATTTCCAACATTCAAGGTTTTGAAAAAAACACTTCAAAAACCTGAAAAGACGCTCATACAAATGACAAGAATTGGTACCATTTCCCACTTCCCCAGCACACTGGAGATTTTGTAAGAATCATGATAAATTAGCAACAGGGCAGATTTTGAGGTTTGCTGAAAGCATGGTAGTTGGGATTTCATTATACGTGAGATTGCTTTGAGTAACACAGTTATGTGGCAATCCTATTACACGGTACTTGTAAAAGTCTTTGTGTGAATGAAAAGTGATCTGAATTCAGACCCGCAGACAAAAGTTCTGGATTAATCAAAAGCAGAAAAATAAATTGTGGTAGCAGAGTATCACACTGCACTGAGCTCCTTTTAGTAACTTCCATTGGGAGAGCACATCCTGTTATAGGCTTCCATTTATCTCTTTAGACTAGTATTGCACTGATTTGTCATCAATGTTTAGGGTTGCCAGCCTCCAGGTGGGGCCTGGAGATCTCCCACTTTTACAACTGATATCCAGCTGACAGAGATCAGCTCCCCTGGAGAAAATGGCTGCTTTGGAGGGTGGACTCGATGGCATTGTACCATGATGAGGCCCCTCCCCTCCCCAAACCCCTCCCTCTCCTGGATCCACTCCCAAAGTCTCCAGGTATTTTCCAACTCATACCTTGGAACCCTATCAAGGTTTGGGTTTTTTTGTTTTTTTGGGGGGGGTTTGGTGTGAAAATTATCATAGTGAGATTTAGGAAACAGTGAAAAACCTTGATTTTTTTCATGCATTTTTCATGCCTGTTTCATGCATATTCAACTGAGTATCCCCACTGAAAGTTTTCCAATGTACAGCATATGTATTCATATATTTATTCAGATGTGCACCTGAATATGCATACCGTACTATTCTTCTGCACTGCATTACATTCAGTCGGATGGATACTTGAATGCACTACTCAGTGGGAGGGAACACTGGCCCAATTTTCTCAGCAAAAAGGATGTGCTTTCTTTTCCCCAGGCACCTGACCCTTTATGAACTACTTTGCAAAGGGGTGAAAACATTGCTGGAAAAAATGGGCTTATTTTCATTGAGCTGAATATTTTTTTACAAAACATGCCCTTCCATTTCAGCTAAGCATTATTTTAGATGATTCACGCATGATTCTCGTGTATTCATCTATATGTCATGAGGTCAGTAATGGCACTCAAAAGAACATATTTGCTTAGTGAATGGAACAAAGTTTGAGTCCAGTGGGACCTTTAAGACCAACAAAATTTTATTCACGGTATAAGCTTTCATGTGCAGGCACCCTTAAGCATATACCTTGAATAAAACTTTGTTGGTCTTAAAGGTGCCAATGGATTCAAATTTTGTTCTGCTGCTTCAGACCAACACGACTACCCACCTGAATCAATCTTAGTGAATGGAGTTTGTCTTTAGGATCACTAAGTGAGCTAGTTATCACCCTTTTAGCTTAGTACCTGGGAGAGTCCTAGGCTGTGTTGGCTGTACCACAGGATATTTTGTGCCTGTTTGGTACACACTGAATGCAGTATGTTTGCCTTTTATTCTGTGTTCTCTGTATGCTCCCACATCTAATGAACATTTTAACTTATTTTTGATCAAACTGAGATACTCTGAAGTAATGAAGCTGTCTGTGGGGGTGCATGGTTGAGTCTGTTAATAAATAATAAACTCACCACCTTTATTCATTACATTTAGTACTGTAACAACACAATTGTACAACCCAAAACCAAGGCAGACTTATATATGTACTAGGAGTAATGCCCGTTGTGGGAAGAAATACAACGAGATCTAGAAGGAAGCTCCAGATGAGTGTCCCAACTGTGGCTGGTGGGGCGGCAGAGGGAAGCGGAAAATGGAGGGAGGCAAGCCATGTTTCTTTCCTTCTGCTTAGCTATAAGGCAGGGCTGTCTCAAGTCATTTTGCTGCCCCAAGTGGGTAGAATGGGAGGACAGCCTCATGGTAACAGATATGGTTTTCTCCACCTCTGACTTATTTTTGAGGGGGAGGGGGGTGTTATGCAGTGGCAGCTAAGGTAGAAACACACCTCCTCCTGTGCCATGTTTTCTGGGTTCCAAGGGTCTGGAAAGTAGTTCCATAGCTGATTACATGGTTGCCAACTCTGGGTTGGGAAATACCTGTAAATTTGAGGGGTAGAGCCTGGGGAGGCCGGATTTGGGGTGGGGAGGGACCTCAGTAGGGTATAATGCCATAGAATCCACTGCCCAAAGCAGCCATTGTATCCAGGAGAACTGATCTTGGTCATCTGGACATCAGTTTTCATAGCTGGAGGCCGCCTGGAGGTTGGCTTATGTTAATTTGGGGCTATGCAGTCACAGCTAATGTAGAAAAGCACCTCCTCCTGTGCCATGTTTTCTGGGCTCCAAGGGTCTGGAAAGTGGTTCCATAGCCAATTACATGGTTGCCAACAGAGGTCTTTTTCCCTCAACAGACACTAAGGGGAAATTTATTTTACCTCAGAACATCAACAGCAAACTGTTTAGAATGTTAGAGGGAATGGCCAGTGAGGCCGCATATGCAAATGACCTCTGTGTTCCGAGCCAAAGGCGAATCAGGCCACATATGCAAATGACCTCTGCATTCTGACTGGCTGTGGAGGGGAGAAGAACAGCAAACTGTTTAGACTGTTGGAGGCAGGACTCAGGCAAAGCGGCCAGTGGATAGGGAGACCCTCTGAATAACAGATCAGAGAGCGAACTGATTTTGGAGCGCATTGGAATGTTCAGGGGAGTCCATGACCAAAATAGAATTATATATACCGGAGGATACATACAAAGTGAGGAAGACATAGCCCAGTGAAGAGATCAGTCTTTCTTTCATGCACATGCCAGCAATGTACATGGGACTTTACAGACTGGTATACATAAAAAAGAGAAGTCCTTGCCCCACAAAGTTCACAACCTAAATTTCAGCTACTAAGGCAACAGCAAAGGGAGAGAGAAAAAAAAATGAGGGCACAATCAGGCAAATTCTTCCTATAAGCTCTCAGACAGAAACTGTGACAGCAAAAGCCTATGTTAAATTTTGTGGCCTTTTATACAGCCAAGTGATATAATTTGGCCCCATTCCAGTAGGCTGTTATTCCAATATGACTTTAAACACAAAAACCCAACAGCTGTACCAATTGCCAGCTGTGTCTTGTACAGATGTCACACACCAGATGTGTGAATTAAATTCACATCAATGGGAAATTAATGCACAAGCAGCCAGCACAATATATCCATAGACAGAGTTCATGGCCTATCCCGCAACTCTTTTTATCCTTCATTAGCTTCATCTTGCACTTCATCTTGTGGTTTTCATGTGGGCTCTCAAACACGGGAACCAAATCACTCTGTCCACCTTGGAAGACTGGGCTAGTGTATTGTAATCATTCCAAGCCCTGAATACAAATCTCATCTTCCTAGCATCTGTATCATGCCCTGACATCTTCCAGTCGTGGGAGGAAGTTTATATGCCTGCCATGGCAGAACATGAGAAAGCTGATGGAAAGTAACAGCTGGATAATAGTTGTGGAAACCTATGCTCAGAGAATAGGACTGGCTTCCTTTTTATAGACTTTTATAAAAGCAACTAACTTTAAAAGGCGTGATACTTACTCTGGAGGACTTCATTAAGCTCCACTTTAGACAGGCTTTGAATGTTTAATACTATATTTTATTAGGAAGCAAAGCATTCACACCTACCTAAATGTCTCTTTGAAATACTAACAGGAGAGTTTACTTCATGAGCTGCCTATTTATCCGACACTTCTGCCATAACCACTTCAGCTCCCAGTCTTGAAAAGGGTAGCTACTCCATCCAGCTCCCTAGGATAGCAACAGACAGGAGCTAAGGCTCGGGAATAGGCACTATCCATCACCAGAACGTATGGTGGCAATTTTTGGCTCTGTCAGTGGTCTGTGGTGTAAGCTGGGAAAACTAGGCCCCTTTGTTATGTGCTTTCCAGAAATACAGACAGCAACACAAAGATGAAAATTCTTTGTGAACTAAATTTGAACACCTAAGGGCTTGTTCCTAACAGTGTGAATTGGAATTACTAGACTCACACATCTGTACATCCTTTGAAGAAGATATTTTGTATATTCATATTTATGGTACAGTCCTTGTGTGCATAGAGTATTGCAGTGTGCATTAATTTGCTTATAATAGTAATATTTGGATTTTATGTTGGTGCATACCTTTTCTTCCTGTTTACTTTTCCAAAAATATAGGACAGTTCCCAAGACTATTTTAGCAACAGTTTTTAATGCTTTAAATACGGTCCCGTTCACACTAGGGGATTTGGACCGGGAGCGGGACAGATCGGGGGCGGAGCAAACGGCCGCAATCACACCACAACACCTGGGAAGTGTAGTGCTTCCGCCCCCGATCCGGCCCTTCCCCTCGAAACTCCGCATCAACTGGGAACCACCTACCGAGGTGGTTCATCTGGATGAGGCGCCTCAACTGGGCCGTCGGATCGTCGGCGCGTCTTTGCGCCGGCACATCCCCGGCCCCCACCCGAACTGTGCATGCTCCGACATGCGCAGTTCAGCAGCCTCCCCGTCGGAAATGTGTTTTCTCCCCGGCATCTGATCGTGCTGGGGAGATAAGGCGCCGCGGCCAGGGGATCCGTGGGATCCCGCCGCTGCGTTTCTTTTTTGGCGCGGCTTTTAAAAGCCACGCTTCGGCCCGTGTTTTCCCTGCCGTGTGGCAGGGGCCTACATCTCAGTTTGGTTTGTTAAGTATGCTGACCCCTCATGATAACATGCTTGGGCACATGTTAATATTGCTGTTCATCAGGGGTCATTTGGGGGGGGACGCGGGGGGACGCCATCCCCCCGGGTGAGGTGCGGGAGGGCGGGGCCTGGAGCTCCCTGCTGGTGCCCGCTGGAGGTCGCCGCCGGCTGTGGGGAGGACACACTTCCAGTGATGTCAGGGGGTGTGGCATATGCTAATGAGTTATGCTAATGAGTCCCCCTAGCTCTTTTTCTATGAAATGACCCCTGCTGTTCATCATGCCTTCAGAAAAGTCTCAGGATATAAGCTGAGAACTAAGCTCATGAGTTGCAATGTTTATGCATGCTGGTAACAAGACTGGTGATCAAATAGTCAGAAAACCAGTTTTAGAACTCTGCCTTTGATAAAATCGGAAAATAACATTTGTTTTAGAAGTTTAACAACAAGAAGAACAAAAGAGGCTGATATCCTTGATTCTGAAGTGCTGATTCAGAACTAACATCTCGACTTCAAACACTTCAAGGGAAAACTGTTTTCTTTCTTAATAGACATTTTCTTGTGAAATACAGGATGACTTGGATGAAAATGTTATTTTATATGAGCTACCAGCCTTTAATTTTATAAACTGCTATTAATGGAGAAAAGTATTAGTTATGTGAGAAGTTATCACAATGCAAGATTTCCTTATCTAATCCCTGACCTACAATATTTTGACTCCTTGCTGAGTAACTTGTGTTCCGACTTCATCACTCAACAGTTACTTGTTGCTCACATCTGAGGATACAGTGTCCACAGAGCATGCTCAGAGTGATCTTCTCTTATCACTAAGGAACCAACCCACTTACCACATCTGGAATAAAGCCCACCCAGACATTTCTTTTTTTAAACTTCACTACTGCCTAGAATCTTGGTCCTGGGTAGCCATACTAAACCTGCATTCTCTACTGAACCCTTCTGCTCCACATGTCTCTCTTTCATAGACTGTGCCAGGACATTCTTCTATCCAGTTAGTTCTCATTCGACACTGTCTCTTATTTTAATCTACCCTATCAATTTTCTGCTGCCGCTCAAATCACAGTAGTCCCCAATTCTTTTTTCCAGCTACTAATTTTCTCACTTCGGATCTACTCCTATTTCATTTGTATCTCTTAAGCTGATGATTTAATGCTGAAAACCATTCCAAAACAAAGTGAACCATGCTGGTGCCATCCTAGACGGGGCTGCTGCCATTGTGTTCTAAAAATACGCATTTGTTCTCTTGCTTTTGCCTCAATTCCCATTTCCTCCCGCGCTCTCAGTCCTGGGACTAAAAGCTTTAATTTGTTCACTGTGTAGTGTCTCTTACATTCCCATTTTCTGTAAATCACACTCTGTAGTGCATCTTGTATCATTTACCGTTGCAAAGCATCATGTGTCTCAAAAGACACTATACAACAATCAAATTGCATTATATTATACTGAGCACAGAAGGTCTGCTGTTGCTAGTGTTTACAAGTCACCCAAACACAATGGTTCATGGTTCTTGACAGTCATTTCCTTTACAACAGTGTGTTATTTTTAAAAATGCATTTGCGGCAGCATTTGCATGACAAGCTGAGCTGCTTTGCCCCTCCCCAGTAAAGCCCACTGTTTGCCATTCTCTGAGATGCCATTCACATTTCTTACCTAACTTGAGTCAACAAAAACTGACTACAGTGTCAAACAAGGCAGTAATGCCTTTCCATTTTCCAAATGTTCTGACCTGGAAAATACCCAAACCAGACTTCCCATTCGACCTAGATTTTAGTGTCCACTAATTGAACAGTTTTGAAGGAACTGTGTCACAATGCAGCCCCGGGGTTAGAACAGATGCATTACATTAATTACAGCTGGGGAGATTCAGTCATAATCACAGAATGCAGCTAAAAATTAAAGGGTATGGTTACAGAGACCCCAGAAATGGACCAGGGCAAAAGCCCAGCAAAAAAATTGGTTTGTATCATACATTCCAAACCTTTAAAGACACAGAGTTTCTTGATTATGTAGTTATGCAGACTAAGCTTATATCTAGGTTTCTACCAGCATCCCAAGATTCCAACCATCATGAAGGGCCAGGAAGGTTGTGCCCATCTGGGCAGGAGGCAGGGTAGCTAGATCAGCATTACAACAGAATCACACCAATCTGATGATAATTTATCATCCATGTTTAATTTTGAGGCTTTGATCCAACAGAGCATGTGTGTTGAAACTGAAGCTTCATGGACATAAACTTTAAAAAATGTACTTAGGGTTGTCAGGTAGTGTCCGGCAATCAGTGGGCACTTTGGGGGCAGGCACATCGGGGGCATGTAGTCTTCTATGCCATGATGTCTCTTAAGGGAAAACCTAAAGTGGCATCAGGTAGCTGTAATAATAGCTAGAAATGCTATGATAAAATTGGAAATGATATTGCCACACAGACAATGGCAACTTTCCCCCTTCCCACTGCTGCTCAAAGCAGTAGTTGGCAACAAGGGGTGCTGGCAGGAGGTCTCCTATCATAGTGGGAGGCCTGTCAGCCCTATTTGTACTCATAGCCCCTCTGAAAAATTCTGTACAACTATTTAATCCTGTCATTAGGCAGCAAAGGGGGGAGGGGGATGAATCCAGACTTCTGCTCCTCCTCCTGAACAGCTTATTGGTGGAATTCCTGTTTCCCCCCCAATACTAATATTCACCCAGCTCTGCTATTGGATTGGCTGGAAGAGTAACAAGCACAGTTGGCATTTGCTCACACAGTTCCCCATACAGCCAGGAGTATATATGCTGAAGACTGCTTCAGTACCTGCACAGTTTCTAGCTGGAATGGGATGTTAAGGTGGAAGATGTCTAATCATCTTTATCATATCCCATCTTACAACATACCTGGAGAAGAGGCTTTTTAAAAAAAGATAATTTTCCAGTGCTCTAACTCATATTACCATTCAGAAAAGGAAATTAGTTTCTTGTGAGTTCTAATCCCAAGTCTACTAGTGTGTCACTGCGCTCCAGCTGCTTCAAGTATCGAAAGTGCGTGACAATCACTGGATGCAAGCAGCTACACAAGGCTAAGTATTATATTACCATTATGAAGGTGCCCCTCATGAGAAAGTACCTTTGGGTACAAGTGTATATTATCAACCCCCATAGCCACAAATAATAGGGTTCTACTAACTTTTCTTATTTGAGATAAATGAAGATGGGAACCTGGAAAGGAAAAACTTGCTGCAAAAATAGTGTTGCCTCAGTGCAGTATAGTGGTTAGAGTGTCAGGCTACGATCTGGGAGATTCAGATTTAAATCTCCACTCATGCCATGGGAGATCGCTAGGTGACCTTGGGCCAATCACACACTCTCAGACTAATCTACCTCACAGGATAGATGTGAGGATAAAATGGAGGTGAAGAGAACAACATAAACCGTTTTGAGTCCCCAGCAGGGAGAAAGGATGTAAAAGAAGTAAATAAATTAAAAATATTCTATGACCCATTGTAGTCTTCAATGGCTTGATCCTATGGTGCTAGGCCATGTAAAAAATGGACAGCACTGCACTCAAGGACTAACTTGCCACTATAACCTTGCAAGTTACAACATACTGACAGAGCAACACAGTATAGGAAGTTGCACCACTTTGCAAAAAGAACACTGCAATCACAGCCCTGGAGTGCTAATTCAAAAACATCAATACCAAATGCCCAACTAAAGCCCACAGGCCAAGTAGCATCTCCCACCGCACGAAGCACAGACCAACGCATGCATGCCAATGTTGCACCCCAAAGGAACAGGCACCATCTCACTGCTATTCACTGCAGTGGATTCACTGAGTGTCACACTTTGGAACCTATATTCTGACAATTTGTTTGGAACAAGATATAATTGATTCCAAAGGCTTCAGAATCAGATGAGACAAATGTGGAAATACAAACTACAAGAAAGACATGAGTCCTTCAAGTACAGCACTATAAGTGAATTTGGATATAATAATACCATATCTGACAAAGGAAAAGGCAACACCAAAATGAAAAAAGTCACCTATTTTACACTTGCTTTTTTGTTCTATTGTTATATTTGTATCTGGCTATGTCCCAATGGATGAACCCAGCAGGAGCTCGGCGCATCCACGGAGCTAGTTCATCAGCCTGGCATGATCATTCCTTGTCTCCGTCTTAGCTGATAGTATATTCCAAACCTAATTGTTATCTCAGCAGAGCAATTCCATTATTCAGCCTGACACTGCTCTCTCTCTCCCCTCCTTTCCAGTCCCTGTTAGCTGTTTGTTGCAGCGATGTTATATTAATGAGCCCTGCAAATAAATGAATAGATCAGAGTGCCACTTGTTCACAAGGAAGCTGATTTTTTTTATTCATTTCATCACTGAGGTTGCAGACAACAGGGGAACGATTTATGCCGTCAAGAGGAACACATGGCAGATCCCAATGACATGCTGTTTGAATTAAGAAGATTTCATGTTAACATGTACAGTCCTATTGATTTTTTTTCTTTCCTGTCAATGAGTAAGGATTCCCCTAAACCTCCACTCCCTGGAGGCTCATAACGATTTTAAATGTTTACCTCCTCTATTGAACTCTTTAAAGTTTTCATGAAAAATCTACATCTGATCAAATTTCCCCTTCCACTCCCTTTCCCCAGAATGCTGACTACTAATTGAATCAAGAACGGTTAGAGCTAGCCAGGGTTCTCGTGAAGTAAAGCCCTGAACAAAGTAACCCATGATTTCTGAACCTGGGTTAAGAAAGAATCCTGGATCCCGGTCACACAGGCCGTAAAATGCGGGGGGGGGGAGCGTGGCAGTTTGGCCCGGAGCAAAATAACGCACAGCCGCCCAATCACATGTCCTGTCGAGGTCCCGTGGGTAGGGGCGAGGTGGTGATCACACAACGATCCTGCAGTGCGGCAAAGAAGCATAGAAGACAAGATGGAGCCTTGCAGAACTCCACAGGCCAAAAGACAAGGGGCTGAGCAGCAGTTCTTCAGCACCATCTTCTGAAACCTACCCTCCAGTTAGGACCAGAACCACCGTCCCTGCCTGGAAAGATGGTTCAAAAGGATACCATGATTGAAAGCCACTAAGAGGTCCAGAAAAAGATGATTGGATCCACCACATATGCATTGAACTACAGAAGCACCCCAGAATTCAATGGTATGTACTCCACACACACACACGCACATACATATGTGTGTGTGTATAACAGTATGTACTCCCTAGACAAACAGACTGTGGTGTGCAGGTCTAAAGCTTTAAATTGTATTTTACTATAATAGGGAGCTGTAGTAAAATCTTCAAAGTATAGTGCAAAATAATCAGATTTACCAAGGACTGAATGCTCTCACTCACCAACCCAATTTCAGACACAAACTAAGCTGTCTTCATGATTCAGATTCTACTAGTAACATCACGGAAATTGATAATTACTTGGTTGGGAACGCAAACATTTCTTTTTTGTAATGCTCACCTCAGTTATCCACTTCAATTGTTGTGGGCTCTATTTCTCCTGAACATCCATCTTTGGCTTTGATAACAATCTGAACTGCTGTGCTTCTTCCTTCTTTCTTTGAATGCTGCAGTGGCAGTTTTTAAAGCACTTGGAATCCTGGGAAACAAAGTTTTGCTATGGCACCAGAGCAGTACATATCCCCAGGGTTCCCTGAACCTAGGATGCATGCCCAGTTCCATCCTAGGTTCAAGGAGCTTTAGGACATGCAATTTCCTTGGTGGCCAATTTTCATAATATGGACTCAAGCACTCAGGAGAATAATTGTTCCCAGGATGCCTGGTACCTGGGATATAGCAGCATTCTAAGCACCAGAAGGGGAAGGAAGGAGAACTCACAAAGGTCCCTACCAAGATCTCCCTGCCCTCATTATTCCACTGCCAGGTAACTGTGGGAGAAGGGAAAGACAGTGTACAGGAGAGGGTTGAAGGATTTATTTGTGGGGAATGCCATTCAGAACCCATCATACTTTTACTGATGTCTGGGACTGGGGGGGAAAACAAGCTATTTTCTAGTGGATATTGGAAAATAGTCCTGTTTGCCAAATCTATTTCTAAATCAAGTTGAATGAAGTCTGCTCATCTGTGGTATCTACCATTCACAGTCAGCTTGGAGACTCTTGTCAAAGTGGGATACGCCTCCAGGTCATTCTGTTTAGGCTGTAGGCCCTCTTACAGAGATGACAAATCACAAACCTCTGAGTTCTGTTCTTCTCTTCTGCACAGACCTAACTAAAGATAGTAATATTCCACAGCACAAATTTGCTCAAAGTCACCATGAATGCCCTAAGGATAAAGGCATGGAGACAACTTGACCAATCATTCTCTCCCCCCTTCCCCTGCTTAGCTCAAGGAAAGGAAGTGAAGTCTCTGATTTCTTAAAATGTTACATCTGTCTGAACAGTTTAGTGGGAATATATGATTGTTTGCAAGCTACTTTGCTCCTGGTGACTTGCAAACAACGCAGAGAACTCTGTGAGAAGAACAGCATTAAAATGCTGAGAAGGCAAGTTTGTTTATTTATAGAAAGGCTCTAGGCATTGATTAAAAATAAAAATGGAAACAAAACCCCTTGGGGTGAAAGAAAATCCACTGAGCCCATCAGGTTGGCAGAGTGGGTGGGTCTCAGTGTCACACAGAATAAAGCTGAAAGAGAGAAGTACTGCTTCGTTTCTAGTGGCTGTGGAGGCACTGTGAAAAATTCAGTATTGGGCAGAAAGCCAGCATACTGTCTGAGCTTTACTTAAATTCTGTTGAAAACTGTGGCAGAATGGTCCTACTCAGGCCTGCAGGCCCTGTTCTACCCTGCCCTCCAAGGTTTTCTCACCACTGGAGAGGCTTTTCTCGCTCTCTGGTAACCTGCCATCACAACATTACCTTTGTAGGAATTGCCTACTGGGAGGATCAGGACTCCCCCAGCTTCCCTTCTATGCCTCTGCATCTCCTGTTGCCAGCGCCTGGTCACCATGGGGACCATTTACTGCTTTGTGCACCTCTGGAGGAATAGCCACTTGCCAACTGACTGCCTTATTCCTGGCGACCCTTTTAAAATAGCGTGTTCAAGATGGTAGAGGTCTATGTGGTACAGAGAACCACTTCCAGCAGTTATAAAGTATTTCATAGAATCATAGAGTTGGAAGGTATCTCCAGGGTCATCTAGTCCAACCCCCTGCACAATGAAGGAAATTCACAAATACCCCCCTCCACACCCATAGTGACCGCTGTTCCACGCCCAGATGACAAAAAACCTCCAGGATTGCTTCCTGACCCCAAAGACGCAAACAGCATATCCCTGGGCATGTAAAAAGGGCTAGAAGAACTAAGCACTGAGGCAACTCTTCCTGCCCTCCCTCTCATGATCTGCCTAAGTTCACAGAATTCACATTGCTGTCAGATGGCCACCTAGTCTCTGTTTGAAAACCTCCAAATAAGGAAAGCCCACCACTTGCCGAGAAAGCCTGTTCCATTGAGGAACCACTCTAACTGTCAGGAAGTTCTTCCTCATGTTTAACTGAAAATTCTTCTGATTTAATTTCAACCCGTTGGTTCTGGCCCGATATTCTGGGGCAACAGAAAAGCTCTGAGGTTCGCTTTAAAGTTCTCAACACCCTGGTGCTTGTATGAAATTCAGCGATGGCCGCAGACATAGGAAATAGTAATTCAAATTTACATACTCCTTCCAAGTATTCAATATTCAAAAGTGCTCCATATGTGATCTTGTTTTAACCCTTACAACATCACTGTGATGTAGGCCAGTATTATTATTATTATTATTATTATTATTATTATTATTATTATTATTATTATTATTCCAAACAAAGTGGTACCATCACATCTCGTGATCTGGACACTATACTTCTGTTGATACAGCCCAAAATCGCATTTGCCTTTTTAGCAGCCACATCACACTGCTGACTCATGTTCAGTGTATGGTTTACTAAGACCCCTAGATCCTTTTTGCACATACTACTGCCAAGACAAGTCTCCCCCAACCTATAATTATGCATTTGATTTTTCCTACCTAAATGCAGAACTTTACATTTATCCCCATTGAAATTCATTAAATTTCTTTTAGCCCAGTTTTCCAGCCTGTGAAGATCATCCTGTATCCTCACTCTGTCTGCTACCATATTTGCTACCCCTCCCAATTTAGTATCATCTGCAAATTTAATAAGCATTCCCTCTATCCCTTCATCCAAATCATTGATAAAGATGTTGAACAAAACAGGCCTTGACACACTCCACTTGTCACTCCTCTCCAAGAAGAAGAGCAACAAGCACTCTTTGGGTGCGATCTGTCAACCAGTTACAGATCCACCAGTTACAGATTATTTAAAGAAAATGTTCACAAGCTTCCTTTATTACAGCACCAGATTTGGCAAGGGATTCAAAAGAAATGGATAAAACACAATTCCTCTGTCCCTCTCTCTACAGAATCATAGAATCATAGGGTTGGAAGGGACCTCCATGGTCATCTAAGGCAGCCATCGCACTATTCAGGAAATTCACAAATACCTCCCCCACACACACACCCAGTGACCTCTGCTCCATGCCCAGAAGATATAAAGACCAAAAGTATTGCTGCACAAGTTCATATGCTTACAAAAACTAACAATAATGATATTTTAATATTTCAGCAAAACAGTAACATCAAAAGACCGAAGTCTTCAAACTGCGGAAGCAAGGACGAACTTTCTCGAGCTTGACAGTCCGTTTCGACCTGAGTCTTTATCAAACGTCAGTTTGTGTTGTTATTTCTTCAAATCATGAGTTTCCAAAATATGTGCATCAATTCAAAAGTGTTACATACTAGAGCTATTTGATAAAGACTCAGGTCGAAACGGACTGTCAAGCTCGAGAAAGTTCGTCCTTGCTTCCGCAGTTTGAAGACTTCGGTCTTTTGATGTTATTGTTAGTTTTTGTAAGCATATGAACTTGTGCAGCAATACTTTTGGTCTTTATGTCATCTAAATTGCTGGGTCCTGGTTACTTTACCCATGCCCAGAAGATGACAAAAAACTTCCAGGATCCCCCGCCAAACTGGCCAGGAGAAAAATTGCTTCCTGACCCCAAAGTGGTGATCAGCGTTTCCCTGGGTTTGTAAGAAAAGGCAACAAAGACTGATGCAACCCTTCCTGCCCTCCCTATATATGCCGTATCAGATGTTAAAATATAGGACAGGCTCCTTGTCTTAGAAAGTTACAGATCTCTACAGAGTTTTCCGTTACCTAGAAGTTACCTTCAGCTCCTCAGGACAGCACATGGTAAAATAGCTACCTCCTCCACACCTCAGTTAAGACTTCTGCCTGCTCTGATGGACTCTGCATTACAGAGAGCTTGCTCCCCTGAGTTTTATCTCCTCTGTTTCCCCACCCACTGACCAGGTCAAGCCAGGTCAGTGAAGCTTTTCCTGAAGTCTCGAGAATTTGCTAGTATTTAATGCCTCTAAATCTCTGTTCCCTGCTTAGAGGATGGGAGCTTGACCATCCCATAGTCTAGACCTATTAGCATTTCTATGTAGGTGGGCTGAGGTGGAACACAATTGAACTGACTTCCCCGCTTCCTGCCTGTTCTCTGCCCATAGAAAAAAAAGAAACTTTTAAAAGTCAGGGTGAAGGTTATGCTCAATTCAAACCTCCAAAGAAAAAATGCATTTCTTCACGAAGACTAAGGGCACTGTTAACAAAGCATCAGAGAGCTGGTGAATATGGGATGCCTGAGTTGGTAAAATACACTTTTGGGCTTGTTTACATTTTATAGCTGCCATGTTTACAAGGGAAAACCATAGATTATTAATCCCAGGTGACCTAGAGGGCAAGAGTTTTTAAAATTATTTTCACACGATCACTGATAACTGCAGCATATATATCCATGATGTTAAACAACTTCCAATGGGCTGAATAGTGTTCATGTTTGCCCACCTGTTGCCCAACATGGTTGAAAAGCCACTGGTTACTAGCACTCAAGCTGCAATGGGTGAACCAGTCCTATGAGCTGATAGTGTCCTTGAATTAGATCAACGTGATAACTTGCAATCCACTAGGATTTCCTTTGTGTACTAAAGGGGGTGAAACATGTTTGATTACATATGTTATGCATCCCATACTAGGATTTTAGAACATGCACTAGGATTTGTGGTATGTTAAAGTTGTAGCCAGGAAAATATAATAAGTGTTTCACGTATGGCTGTGAGAGTTGGACTATAAGGAAGGCTGAGTGTTGAAGAATAGATTCTTTTGAATTATGGTGCTGGAGAAGACTCTTGAGAGTCCCTTGGATTGCAAGGAGATCAAATCAGTCAATCCTAAAAGAAATTTACCATAACTGTTCCCTGGAAGGCCAGATACTGAAGTTGAAGCTCAAATACTCTGGCCACCAAATGAGAAGGGAGCACTCACTAGAGAAGACCCTGATGCTGGGAAAGATTGAAGGTCAAAGAGGAAGGGAATAGCAAAGGATGAGATGGTTAGACAGTGTTATTGATGCAACGAACATGAAATTAAGCAAACTCCGGAGCATGATGGAAGACAGGAGGGCCTGGTGGGATGTGGCCCATGGGGTCGTGAAGAGTGTGTGACTGAACAACAGCAAAACCAGCAGGCATAAAACAAAGATTAAAACACCTTTGTTTATGAGACTGACAAATAGCAGTATCAGCCATAAACTCCTAAATCACCAGTTGTAACTTGCATATGAACTCCTTGATCTCAAGGCCAAATCTGGCTGAAGGGAAATGTCATCAGAATGAAAGTATTTTAAATAGAAAATTCAAACCATGCCATCAGTGTGAGTGCCTCCCCCATTTGGAACTCCTTGGTCCATATGACACATACACGCAACAAAATTTGGGTTTTTTTCTCTTGTAGTGACAAAAAACTTACCTTGTTGGAGGGATTGCAGTCACAAGCTGAAAAACACCACTGATGGGTTTTTGAATGCTAAGTGGTGGCCGTGTGCCTTCTAAACTTTGGCTTGGATCCACCAGAGTGTTATAACGGATGGATTTTTAACTGTGGAGTGCAACTTTCTTTCCTACCCCCTCCTGCTTCACCCATCTGTTTATAATAGGGGCACTTATTATGGAAAAGCAAAATACTGAGCTACTAAGTAACTTTAAAAATAAAATAATGGAGCTTGCAAACGGGATGAATAATGATTCTTAGGAACTTAATGAGAAGTGTAGAGCAGTATTAGAGAAAGGAAGCTTCTGTTCCAATTCCCTAATGACCCATTAACCTCCCAAGTAGTCATCAGGCAGTTCAATCAGCCAGTACCCTGCAGAACAGGCCAAAAAGCAGTATCTTGAAGGACTCATTGACAATTCCACTGCCCAGTGTTCTTTGCAGCAAGTGCTGTATATCATCCTAATACTCTTTCGCATCTGTTTGTGCAAAGTCCTAGTTACTCAAAGCTTGACCATCTCTCTTGCTTCTTTGTCTTTAAGATTAAGATTTGCCTGTCTATCAATCAAAGAATACTATAATAAATGTGAGGAATATTATAAAAGGACTTACACATGCTGGATAGAAGAATACAAAGGGGGCACACAAGAAACTTGTGGGAGAGGCCATCCCATTCTCCCACCCAGGGGTCATTTCGTAGAAAAAGAGCTAGGGGGACTCATTAGCATAACTCATTAGCATATGCCACACCCCTGACATCACCGGAAGTGTGTCCTCCCCACAGCCGCCGGCGACCTCCAGCGGGCACCAGCAGGGAGCTCCAGGCCCCGCCCTCCCGCACCTCACCCGGGGGGATGGCGTCCCCCCCCGTCCCCCCCCCAATGACCCCCCCTCCCACCTTTGTTTCTTCCCCTCTCCCCCTACTTCTCTGTCTCTCACTTTTTCTCCCTCCCTCCCACCATCCCTTCTCTCCCTCTCTCTCCCCCATGCCTCTCACCTTCAGTCTCCTTCAGAACCCACCCCCTCACTATTTCTTTCGCTCTCCCCACCCATAACTCTCTCTCTTTCTGCCCATCACTATTCTATATCACCAGTTTGGTGTAGTGGTTAAGAGCACAACTCTAATCTGGGAGAACCAGGTTTGATTCCCCACTCCTCCATGTGCAGCTGCTGGTGTGACCTTGGGCCAGTCATAAGTTCTTTTAGGGGTGTTCTCTCAAGGGCAGTTCTCAAGAGAGCTCTCTCAGCCCCGCCTACCTCACAGGGTATCTGTTGTGGGGAGGGGAAAAGAAAGGGATTGCAAGCCTCTCTGAGATTCTTTCGGGTAGTGGTGGGGTATAAATCCAATCTCCTCCTCCTCCTCCTCCTCCTCTTCCACCCATCATTGGCATTGGCCTTGACGTAGCTCTGGCCTCTGGCACTGGACCCACCATGGCTTCACCCTTTCCTGCTGCCATCACTGGGGCCGCTGTGGCTCCTGGCCATCTTCCTCTCTGGCATCAAGGGCCAGGGCCTTTTCAGTGGCGGCTCCTTACTGGTGGAATGAGCTCCCGGAAGAGATCAGGGCCCTGTGGGATTTTTTACAGTTCTGCAGGGCCTGCAAGACAGAGCTCTTTCACCAGGCCTTCAGCTAGGAGCTGCCCCTACTATTACCATCAATGAGCCCGGCCCTCAGCTCTAACATCTGGCTCATTCCATCGAGTGACTCAGGATGACACTGAGCTGGAATGCAGCTGTTGGAGACATCTGTAGGACACCACTACGAGGATAACTAATAGCACCTTATGATTTTATGGTTTTATTTGTTTAGTACTGTTTTATATGTTTCATATGATTTTATTGGCAACTGGTGCCACTACCGTAAGCCACCCTGAGCCCACTTGCGGGGAAGGCAGGGTATAAATTGAATAAATAAATAAATAAGCCTGGCGGAGCTCCCAGCCCCCATTGCCAGGCCCACTGTAATTTCTTCCTCCCAGTCACTGTTGTTCCCGGCCAACATCCTGGCTGCCTGGAGGAGGTAAGGTGCATTATCTGCACATGTGCAGTCAATATTTTTGTTTTATCGGGCAATTTAACCCGCCCAATGTATTTTAACTGTTCTGAGAAAATCTCCTTTTTGTTATTATAGGTGGATTTAGATATCCACAGATGAACCCACATATGGCTATTAGATATACAGATGAAACACAGGCCCGCACATGACAGGTTCATTCGGTACCTCTAAGAAAAATGGCTGCAACAGGGGCTACAACTGTAGGGAACTTTTGCTGTGGATTCTAGTAGAACCTCCATCAGCAGCATGTTTCAGCTTGTTGGCTGTGACCCAACAACCAACTTACTGGAATCAGTAAGTAAGTTGCCATTGCAAGAGGGAATAATTGCAACCCCCCCAAAAAAAACCCTAATAAAATTAACATTTTGTTTGGCAAATTGGCTGTAACTAATGTTGTATTTGCATTAAGTCTGCTGTTGCTCTATCTGTGGATTCCAATAAAACTACCGGCCTGAAGCCCACTTTCTGCCCGGTAAATTACAACCCTTCTTCCCTACCCACCTCCTACTTACCAGTTAGCAAACCTTGGGAGAATCTCTTCCCAGCTCTCTCTCACTCTGTGCACCAACTTCTCCTCTGTCTCTCTCTTTGGCACCTCTTTTTCTCTTTGCCAAAATCTCTCACATTTATCTCTCTCTCTCCACCTACCCTTTCCCTAATATATGTGCCTTTTGTGGCAAGGGTTGATGCAAGAGGTACAATACAACATGGTGCTAATACTGAATCTAGTTCTCTACTATGTAACCCACTTAGCTAGAAGCTTCTCAGACCTGAAGTTAAATAAGTTGTTTGGTCTCTGATCCAAGCTGAATAGGATTGAATGAGCACAGCCAACAGGGTGGTGGCACTACCTCCTTTTTAGGACAAGGTGCTCTGAGGAATGATAGATATTCAGCTTCAGGCTTTGTTGGATGAAACTGATTTTCTATATCCATTTCTATCTGGTTTCTGACCTGGTTTTGGAGCAGAAACTTTCGTGGGTGCCCTGACTGATGTCCATTACCATAAAAACATGTAGAGTATGCCTCTGTTGAGACTTCTGGTACTCCCATCACCTTTCAGTACCATCAACCACGTATTATTCTCATCTGACAGGGTGCCATGGGAATCAGGGGCACCATGCTCTGGGCTTATCTGTCAAGTCTGTTCCAGAAGATAATACTAGGGGACAATCATTCTACGTTATGGTTTTTGTCCTTTGGGGTTCCACAAGGTTTTGTTTTGTCCTACATGCTATTTAACATCTACATGAAACTTCTGGAAGATGTTATTGAGAAATTTTGGACTGCAGTGAGTCGTGGGCCAGCCAGCTGCCACCTCCTTCTCCTTGGAGGAATCTGAAGAATCAGGCCCCACATCAATGGAATCCCCACCTGAGCAGACAGATCTGGTAGCAGACCCAATATGGGAAGCATCAGGAAGTCAGAATGTTTCCCAGTCACGGCTGGCCTACTCGATCTTCCAGGAAAAGAAAGAGATGCCACAGAATCTGACTTCCCTGCCAGCCAATCCTGAGCCAGCAGCACATAGAAGAAGAGAGTGCTCGGTGGTTCAGGAGAGAAGTGCTTGCTTGGCTGCTCAACAAAGGTCAGTGTTAGTTCCTGGAGTGTTAGTTCCTTGCAGGACCAAGACTGACAGGCTGTTAGGGAACCAGTAAGAAATCCGCACCTGTAGGAAGGTGAACATGACTGTAAGGAGCAACACCAGGCCCTCAGGGGATGAGTCAGCAAAAGGGGCAGATAAAAGAAACACACTGAGCCAGGCTCAGTGTGGAAACAGCCTTGCGTGCCAACACTCTGTGTGCTGATTTGTCTAGCAAACAGAGCTCTACCCTGCCCCTGCTGCCTTGTACCTTGTCTCCACTAATCTGTGCTTGCTCCTGAAGCCTAGGACCCAGGCTTCTGTATCCTGTAGCTGTTCCCAAGCCTTGGAACTGGACCCCTGAACCCTCCTACCTTGACTGTTGGACTGAACCTTTGGCTACCTGACTCTGAACTGGTTTGTAGACCTTGCTCCTGTGTATTTCTGTACTGGTTGTCATTGTAATTTGTATCCTAGAAAACCTGGCTAGAGCAATAGCTCTATTCTTAACCCTGAACATGACACAGTGTCACCAATATGTGGATATCACCAGCTCTATTTCTGATGTCCATCTGACTCAAGTGAGATGGCAGAAGTTCTTAACATGCATGTGAAGATGACAGCAAGTTGGATCACAATCAATAAACTGCAGCTTGATCCAGACAAGACTGTGGTACTGATGACAGAGTTAATGGAAGACTGTTATGATATAATTGCACTCTTCCTTGAAGAAACAGGTTTGTAGCTTAGGAGTGCTATTAGATCTGGATTTAAGGCAGAGACTCAAGTCTTCTCTGTGACACATGGCACCTTAGCCCAGTGTCAGAAGCCTGGATGATAAGGCTAAAGTTGAGAAGCAGTGTCCAGATCATCAGAAGTCTGAGTCAGCAGTTCTGTGGGACGGCTGAGAGTAAGACACCTGAGCAAGCAGTTCATACTAAGTAAAACCACTAGTCCATCAAGGCCAGTATCCTCTGCTAAGACTGGCAGTGGTTTCCATGGACTCAGATCTTTCACATCACCTACTGCCAATGCTCCCTCTAAGCTATGGAGTCTTGTGAGGAAAAATTCTACTTTGTGAACTACTGGCATTAAAGTTGTGAGTGAGTGATTAGGCTGCTGCATCAATTAGTTTGCTCTGGAGCCATCCTTCCTGAGCTAAGACAAAAGTGTGTGAGCCGGAGGCTAAAAAACTGTGCGCTAGCTCACACTAACTCAGCTTAGAGGGAACACTGCCTACTACCTATAATTTTAATTGGAGGTTGTCAAGGTTGAACCTGGAAGCTTAAGCACTCTACCACTGATCCATGGATGCCCCCCCCCAAGGCTGCAAGGGATACAAATGAGCAGTCAGGATAAGATAAGAAGTCTAAATGAGTGGACCAATCTGCAAGGGCCAGAGGCTAGAATCATAATTCATGGCAGGCAGGATAAAGTTCCCTTAGGAGTCAGGCTGATGAATGCAATTGCTAAGCTCAGTCTGTGACAGATCCTCAAAGGCTAACAGGTTGACCAGATTCAGCAAAGGAGGAAGGGGAGAAGTTGGTTTTATACCCCACTTTTCACTACCCAAAGGAGTCTCAGAGCAGTTTACAATCATCTCCCCCCTCCCCTCATAACAAACACCCTATGAGGTTGGTGGAGCTGAGAGAGTTCTGGAAGAACTTTGACTGACCCAGGGCCACCCAGCTGGCTTCATGTGGAGGAGTGGGGAATCAAACCTGGTTCTCCAGATTAGAGTCTGCTGCTCTTAACCAATACACCAAGCTGGCTCTTGGAAGGAGTTTGCGAGCACAGATTTTCCACCCTGGCATTTAGCTGGTACGCCAGCTCTGGTCTATCCTCAAGAAGAGGGATCTGGCCATAGTTATTCATTCTCTGATCATAGATGGATTAAACAATAACAATGTGCTTTACATGGGGCTGGTTGTCCTTGAAGACTGTTCAGAAACTGCAATAGCATAGGATAGAGACAGCATATTCTGCCAATTTTAAGAGACCTTCACTGACTACATGTCTGCTTCTGGGTATAATTTGGTTATTACCGTTAAAACCCTAAGGATCAGGGTGCTTAATGAATTGCCTTCTCCCATGAATACCTGTTCAACAGCAGAGATCTTCTGGTGAGACCCTTATCTGTGTGATCCCCAACTTCAGAGAGAGGTGGGTGGCTATTTATCAGACCATGTAAGGTGAAAGTGACTGAAAATAAATCCGTTAACATTATACTGCCCCTAGATGGTGGATCCTCATTTGACATACGGTTTGCTGTTCTGGTCACCAGATCTGGAAAGGACATTGCAGAGTTGGAAAAAGTACAGAAGAGAGCAACCAAGGCCCCTGTCACACGGGCCAGATAACGTCTGTGCGTGGGGAGGCATGGCTTTTTGCGCCGGCGCAATTTAATGCGCCAGAATGCAATCAGACGCCGCAGCGGCAAAGTGGGGTTTTGTTTGTCGGCGCGTGTTTTTGGCACGTGTCAACACGGTGAGAGGAGTGTGCTTGAACGATTACACGTAGGTATTCTATCGACAGCCTGTAGCAAACCATTTGCTAATAGGCTTTCCAGGGTATTTTTTAACTCCGGATCTTCAGGCGGATGCTATGGGCCGGCAATGGGTGTGCTATGCTTGCCAGATGTGTCCTTGTGATCGCGCCCGTATACTCCACCCGACATTTATGCCTCTCCTGCCGCAACTTCCATGTATAAACAGGGCCCAAGATGATTAAGGGGTTGGAGTACCTTTCCTATGAGGAAACACTGAAGAGTCTGAGACTTTTTAGTTTAGATGGGGTAAAAACAGTGGACAGAGAGAACTTTCTCTCTCTCTCAAAATACTAGAATTTGAGGGGATCCGATGAAGTTGATGGACAGTAGATTCAGGACAGGCCAAAGGAAATACCTTTTTTTACTCAATGAGTGATCAAAATGTAGAATTCACTGTCAGAAGATATAGTGATGGCCACAGGCATAGATGACTTCACAAGAGGATTAGATGGAGTTATGGAGGCTGCTAGTGATGATGACTAAAGGGAATATCCACATTCAAAATACTAGGGCCAGGAGGCAGCATCAAGCAAAGGCCTTGGCCTCTATACCCTGTTGCTGGCCTTCCAGAGTAACTGGTTGACCCCCGTCTGAGACAAAAGACTGGACTACTTGGACCATTGGTCTGATCCAGCAGGGTTCTTCTTATACTCTTCTCACAGAATGAAATGTGCTACATTTTTAAGTAGCTGTTCTGCATCCAAAGTAGGGTTGCCAAACCCCCCGGTTTGCCAGGAGTCCCCTGTTTTTTGGGGGGAGGGTTCTACCCGCCACCGGCCAGATGGCCGGCGGGGGAAGCCCCACCCCCAACACCCACAGCCACCCCTCTCTCAAACTTTAAGTGTGTGGAACCCGTGTTTCCTCCCAAGCCCGATCTCCGCTTGAGATCAGGCTTGCAGGGAAATGCCAGCTTCGTGCACTTAAAAGGGAAACGCCCCCAAAGTCCCCCGCTGGGGGTGGAAGATGGACTTAGCAACCCTAATCCAAAGTATAACACCAGTTTAACAGACAGAGTCACAGCATAATTTCTCCAGACCTCCCTACAAGCTTCTAATTGCATCCCTTCCCATATATATAATTTTATAATCATAAACAAAAAAAAACATTATTTCTGAAATGTCACAAATAGACCATATCGTGGTAACAGGCTTGGAGTTCTGGACTTCTGGGCCATGGAAAAGTATATTTGGCTTTGCTCCACTGTTAGTCTGCCTTAAGCTCAGAGTGAATGCTGGGAAATGGCAACACAAAAGCCCCATGATTTCTTAGTCCACAGTCCAAAGCTCACTGCCGAAAGCTATTTATAGCACTGCCAGTTTCTCACCAATGAAAACATTACAGTAAACAAAGTTTTCATAAGACTCTTGCCCCTGTACTGGTCTACAATCCAGAGAAATCAATTACAGACTAATTACTTTCCTGTTTTAATTAGTGTGCCCGCCAAAAGGGCAGAAAGGATAGCCATCTACTGATGACTGAGCCTGACAACTGAGAATAGGTGATCAAGGACAGTAAAAAGTGTATACAGTTTATGCATTAAAGATGCTACAAATTAATTTAATAGGAAGCCATGCATCACTTTATTTGTTCCTCTTCATTGTTATAAGGGGAATGTGTTAAATCAGGACAAGCGAAGGGAAGCAAAGAACATTTCTAAGAATACAGATGTGGAAGTTCCACTGCAACAATGGAACTTTCTTCCCTGCAGAATCACACATGGTAAAACCCATCCTAAATGGACTGATACCCAGGGAACACTTTCATAATTTGGCATGGTGGATCATGGAAAACCAGGAGATTTTATCCATATTCAAGTGGGTCAATAGAACAAAATTTATTGTACGGTTATGCCCTTCATATTTGGGGTACCAGTAAGCTGGTGTGGGCTGATATAGAGTACTGATAAGAAAGTGACCAAAGTGGTACTCTCATTTTCTGCTCTGAGCCTTCCAAGAGAGACCATACCAGGAAGCTACTTTCACTCCTGCTTCATGTACCACAATAATATGCCAATGAGCCTCTGGGTGGCTTAAGTTTTGTGATAAATGAATGAACCAGGAAAAAGAGGAAGACTTCAAATAAAACTCATGTTCCAGCAACATGAATGTGAGACTACCTAACATTTAAAGATGGTATCTTTGGTTACGTTGGAGATATAAATTAAACAATAATTATTTTCTCTCATGTTCTTCCAGTGGCAACAGCTAATGGGAGGCTGGAACAGAAAGCACAGTTGACTTAGGGCTGGAAATACATACCTCCTCAAGCACAAATGGCAGCATTTTGTAGTTAGTATGAGTAACCACATAACTCTACAAATTAATAAGTGTTATGTACATATAAACATATTAAGGCAGGCTAACAAAGATCAGGAAAAATGCAATCTGTCTAGGTATAC